CAAACTCACATCTAAATAGAGAAGAAAATATGTATTTAATTTTATTCTAGTTTAACTTGTCTTGCATACATTTTACTAGTAATCATTTTACACTGCTTCAATAAGTAACTCCTCAAATGAAATAAAATAATAATAATAATAATAATAATAATAATAATAGTAATAGTAATAGTAACGGGATTTTTATAAAAATGTGTATACAAAGCACTGGAGCCTATTTTCTGTTGCAGGTTTATTACTGTTTCCCCTCAAACATTTCCTTCAGACCAGTGCCTGCCTTTATTTTTATCCAGGCAGCTGTTTCTTGGCCTTTAATTACTGACTGACAGTCCTTAAGTTCTCAATGGATTAATAGTTTCTCTAGCAGATAAAGTAAAGTTATTGGGGGAAGTGGAGTGTGGATAATATGTTTGTTTATGTGCATGTAAATATATATTTATGTGTAGATTATAGAAGGGTAACCTGATTTTTTAAACACATACAATAATAGTTGCTTTCTGTTTTTTTTTATAATTGTGGATAGGGCCAAACATACTCTGGTGATGAGCTTTGGGCTCTTTTCTACCCTGTTTTTGAAGGTCAAGAGCATATCCTTACCCACAGGAAATGCCTGGATTATAAACAAAGCTAGATTTAGAAATTTTTCTCTGCAGAAACAGACATCTAGCTTCAATCTAGTTTTTAACAGCAGTCCTCAGACATTTTTCACCTTGGAAACACTGAATTTGAAGGCATTGATACTATCTGATGCTTCTTCCATACAAAAAAATTATAAATCAATATTTGAAAAATATTATACTATGCTTGTTTTAATTATGTATTTTTACCTGGAAACAACAGTGTTGCAATAGTGACTGTCAGAAGAGACAGTTAAATTTTTACTGTAAAATTAAAAAAAAAACCCCAAAACTATTAGACTGGTTCTTATTATTGAGGGACAGTTTTTTATTGACTTGAAAATACTGAAGCAAAATAAGAGAAATGTGAGTGAAGTCTGGTCCATGCAAGATTAACAAAGATCTTCTATTTCCTGAAGGCAACTAGGATGCCAGATTTTTGTTTAGCTTTGTTTCTTCAAAACTGTGAATCTCCAGCAAAAAAAAATGCCTTAAATGATGACAAGAAATTACTGCTATTCAGAAGAACAAGTTTAACAGATGATTGGACCACCTGTTTATTTTGTTAGGTAGAATTGTATCATAGCCTACTTTAGGTTGGAAAAGACCTTTAATGTCATTGGGTCCAACCATTAATCAAATAATGCCAAGCCTACAACTAAACCATGTCCTCAAGTACCCCATCCACACATCTTTTAAAGCCCTCTAGAGAGGATGGCCCAGCCACTTCTTTGTGGAGCTTGTTCCAGTGCTTAAAAACCCATTTTGTAAAGAATTTTTTTCCTACTATCCAATCTTAATGTCTGCTGGGACAACTTGAGGTCAATTCCTCTTGTCCTAAAACAAGTAGACAAAGCAATTCTGTAAGACTTGATTAATTTTTCAGTTATTTGAACTACAGAGTATTACCAGAAGGTTTTTGACTGTTCATTTGGCACTTAGTATTGTGAAATAGAGCAAATAAATTTCTTTTTTTTTAAAATGAAGAACAAAAAAGACTAATAGAGATAAGAAAAAGAGGAGAAAAAGAGCAGATACAACAAGTTTTATAAACCATTAACATTTAATTAACATTCCATATTTATTGACTTGAATTGTTTATTTTTGAGTGTGCAGCCTGCCAGGAAGGCCTGGTGACCAACTGGGTACTTCTTGATAAGCAGCAGCAGTCACTCAGAGCATGTCCTTGTGCTTGTCAGGGAAGAGCTGCCCCTGTGGTGCCTCTTGCTCTCACTCACAGGTGCCCCAGTCCTGGACAGGGGATTCCTTCTACCTGAGCAAACACAACCAAAATAATGATTTCTCTGACAGCTTAGATACTTGTATTAAGGAAGTCTGTATCAAACTAACAGCTGGCTCAATTGTGTTGTGTTTGTTTCAATTGCATCTAATATTTTTTTTAATTGTTACTGCTTAGTTGGGTTTTATTCAAATTCTGCCTTTTAACAAACTAATCAAATTGTAACTCTAAAATAAATTATCAACAAATTTCAGGATAAATGTTGTTTGCCTGAGTTTAATTATTATTTTGCTGTGTATTTAACCAAACATTGCTATAATATTAGAAACAAGACACCATTGCCTCTTATTTTTTTAATAACATTGAATTTCATCATTAAAAATGCTGAAGAATGCCCTCTAGTGTAGGTTCTTCACACGTAATGAAAAAGATTAATGTACCTTTATATATTCCAGCACATAAACTTTGGAACAAATTTGTGCTCAGCACTTTCAAATTCTCTTTTATTTTTAAGGTTGATTTTTCAAAAATTTTAAAGCATTTTAAGCACTAGTTCCTATATTATTCTCTGCACATAAAAATTTTTAAAAAAACATACATGCATGAAGTATATAATATGGAATGCCCATATATTCATTCAGGCTCTGAATCTGTGCTGTAAGATAACACACATAAATTTCCCTCAGAAATCCTTTTAAGCTAATATTTTCATTGTTATTTCAGTGAGAAATTATGAATTTCAATCTGATGTTCTCTTAGTATGTTTAGATGACCATATAACCATTTTTCATATTTCAGAAGATTGATGATTGCAGACAATCTGAATATTGTAAACATGGAATGCATTGAGAATATTGCCAATTTAAAATATTTCTGTGTTAAAAAACATAAAACATTTGCAGTAGATCTGAATTCATCTAAAATCACTTTATCTGTGAGGATTTCTTTTTAACATGTTATTTTTTTCATAATTAGCAACACTGCATCTGCAATGTGCTTGGTTCTTAGTGGAATTGCTTTCTTCTCTTTACTTCCACATGGAGCACAGCAGTTGCTGAGAAGGGGTTTTGTTTAGTTTTAATTAAAATATTATGGATAAACAACAACTTGCAGAGTGATTGAGAGGGGGGAAAATAGTGCCTGAGATATCATTAAAGAGTCTTGATTTGTTGCACTTGACTGTTGTTCCTAAAATTTTATGTTGGCTATTGGTATCATTACTCTCCTGCCATCCCTTGGTTGCTATGGCAGTTGTCATTAATTTGGGCTTTTTAGTCTGACTCTGATTAGTGCACAGTGCATTTAAAAGGCAACTAGACATAAACACATTCACCAGGGTGCTTGCTGAGAAATATGCACGCTGAACAAAGTAGGGATTATAATTTTCTCCAGGAAGAAGACTTTAGGAAGATTTTGGGCACCTTTTAAAGCAGTTAAATTTACAGAAGCTTAATTGCCCCTTTTCTCTAATTTCTGTTTATTTGAGAAACCTGAGAACTTGGCTTTAAAATTGTTCACCAAATGTTCATTGTTCAATTCTAACCTATAGAATTGAGACTCTTTATCTTGTCTCATTCTTACATATGTATTCTAAATCTTTCCTTTCTGACTCTCACTTTTCCCCCTCCTCAGTCTCTCCCACAATACAGTCCTTCCCTGTAGTCCCACTAACATTTTGTTCCTGGCAAGATTTCTACATTTTATAGATTAACATGTATTTGCAAATGCAGATCTTCATTAAGGTCTTTATCTTGTGCTAGATGGATATCAGTATTGACTAACAGCAAAGAAGAAGCATTAAATATGGCATTCCGTGGAGAGCAGAGCACAGGTGAAAACAGTTTAGAGGATCTGACAAAAGCCATTATTGATGACATACAGAGATTACCCGGCAATGAAGTCTGTTGTGATTGTGGCTCACCAGGTATCTCCATTTGTTCATGTCATCAGCTTCTTGTTGGGAGCAAAGTAATTTCTTTAAAAAGTGTTTGTAGAGTGCAAACTAATTTTCTAAGTGATGTTTCTCCATCTTCAACCTGTTTTTAAAAGAACAAATATGACTTTCCTACGTTAGTTCTGTTTAATTCACTAAAATATTTTTGTGTGTTGTCTGTGCTTACTTCCAGCAGTTCAAGCCCCTCTGGAGTTTGAACTGTTCTTGTTGCACTGTGTCTAGATGCTTGTTGCACTTGAATGGAAGTTGCTTGGCATCACTGATCCTGTGCATGCTACTAAGTAGAAGTGAGTAATACTTAGACAATGATTGTGGAAAAATTGACCTGGCCAGGATCTTGCTCTGAGGCTTTATCTTGGTATGAGACTACTGGAATTGAAGCATGAGAAGTTTTCAGAGGTGGAATAAGTAGTCTTGTGCAAAGAATGAGACCCAGAGTTGAAATCCTATCAGATAATATCTTCAGAAGTACAGAGTTACAGGTCAGTTATGTGTCACTTAGAACTTGAGAAGGGGCAGCTGGTCACAGTACAACTGAGCTGGTGTGGGAGCTGGCAGCTGTTGCAGCTTTCTCATCAAAGGGACACTTCAAGAAGGTGATGCTCATTTGGAACTGAGTAGATCACATGTATCTTGCAGATGCTGATGCAGAACTGATCCAAATTTGAAATAGCTAGAAAAAATTACTAACTGGGATATAATTATGTCAAATCCTGGAATTGGTTCATTCAATTATTTCATTGTGTAAAGCTATAGAAACTTCAGATTACAGTTCTCATTCATATTTTAATTTGTAGTAAAGTTTTAAGCTTCACCTCTGTACTCCAGCTTGCTGCTTTAAAACTCTTGGCTTAATGCTTCAGCAATTACTATTTAAGGTCAAGGAAGAGATTAATTTGTGCACAAAGTATGTCTGGAGCTTTTTCTTTTCCTTAAAAACTGGTCATGCTTCTTATGTAGCACTCATAGTATAAAATCTATTCTAATATTACATGCAGATCTCCTCCATGACAGCATTTTTTAAATTGTTTTTTTTTTTCCCCTGGACTAGCCAGCATTCCTCAAATTTTCTACAACATGCTGCTGTTTTACATACTGGAAAGCAGTATGATTAATCTTTTATGAAAGACTACTTAAAATTTAAGTAAATTTTAAAACAGAGGTTGTCAAATTTAGGAGATCTGTTACTTTTAAAAACAGGAAATAATTTGTACAGAAAACAAATACTAAATGTATTCAAATACATTCATTCAGAATGAATGAAAAAGCCTAAATTCAGTGCTTTTGGGACTGTTTCTAAGTCTGAAAAACTGCATTCCATTGGTAGCAATTTGTGGTTTAATTTGCACTAGAGTTTGGAGAAAAGTATGCAGTGTTCCTAGTTTATTTTCATTCTTTGAAATATGAAATAAGGCATCATTTCAGAATACATCTCTTACCACCAATGCAAACCTTTTCTTGGACTCTGATTAAAGACTTTGTTTTTCAATTGTGCAGATCCAACATGGCTGTCGACTAATTTGGGCATTTTAACCTGCATTGAGTGTTCTGGGATCCACAGGGAAATGGGTGTCCATATTTCTCGAATCCAGTCTTTGGAATTAGACAAATTAGGAACGTCTGAACTCTTGGTAAGTTTCTTTAATTTATATTGGGATTTTTTAGTCAAATGTTGACATATATGTAGGAAGCACTAAAATGTACAATTTACTGTTAATCTTTTTCAAGGAATGTTTTTTTGCAGAATTTCTCCTTTGTATTTCTGTAGATATTTTACAGGTGCACAGTTATATATTATTATATATTATTGGTGCTCTTGTCACTTCTCATTTCATGTCCTGAGGTGATGCAGAATGAGTATTGACATCCATTGTAATGGGTGCCATCAGAATTTTACCTCTCAAAAGTTGATCTTGGCCCAAAATCAGGACACTCTAAAAGCTCATACAATTTAAAACCTGAAGCTAATTTGACTTGAAGGGAAAATGCCTGTTGCTGATTCTGAGAGAAAAATATAGGAGGAGTCTTAATTTGATGAATGAAATCATGTAATATTGAAGTTATGAAAGGAATCTGAGACTACCAAAAAAAAAAAAAAAAAAAAAA